AGGAATGGGGGCGGGAGGGAGACGGGGCGCCCACCCAGAGCTGGGCGGCCATGGGGAGGGCGGCAGCCTGGGCTGGTGAAATACAGGTGGGAAGGAGCCATCTCTGAGTTGCGCTAGCTCACGCCATCCTCTGAGGGGCGTTTCTCTGTCCACCAGATGTGCCTGCTGTTGGAAGGAGTCAGTAGGCAGGCCTTGGTGAGATAGAGCCATTTAGGGCTTTTCTGGTGAAGTGGAGAACCCTTTAGTTTTATACAAAGACCACCTTTTAAAAATGTCTGAGTTAAAACCAGTTTGTTTTTCTGCCTTTGTAAGTGGGTCTTCAGAATCTACTTATACCAGAGACCCCTTCACTGTCCGCAGGCGTCGTCCTGAGGTTGGCTTCATGGTGGGGACCAGAGATGGGAGATTGCAAAGGACATTGAGCGCAGTTTGTACTATCCCTGGTATACTGATGAGGCCCTGATAGCAGCTCATACTTATTTTTAAAAAAGTATTTTTGCTTCTTTTTCACAATGTTCACGGTGGAAATCGAGTTAAGGGGTTCATGACAGATCTCCCAGCGGGGTGATATCTTAGAGCCAGCCCGAAAACCCTGGAGAGAACTCAGTGCAGACTGGAAGCGGGTCTCTGCATTTCATGAGCTCCTAGGGGATTGCTATTAAGTCGAGAACAGCTGGCATTTAATCCCATACACGGTCACCTCGGAAAGGTACCCCTTGGACTTGCAGTTTCCCAAGTGGGGTTGAGAATTTCCTCTAGCTCTGATATTATTTTAGGTTGGAAGATTCTGCCTAATGCCAAAGCTTATTTTCACCTGACAGTAGTGACCTAATTGGTGTGTTCTGTATTCCAATTTTGAAATTAAAACTATGTCCCTTCACACCTTTGATTTAAAAAAAAACAAACAAACAACAGTGCCCCATTCTACCTTTGACCTTAAGTTTCCAGTTTTGCATCTTTGTTCCTAGTTCAGAGTCTAAGGTTTGGAGAGGTCAGAAAACAGAGCTGTGAAAAACCCAACAGAGTGAGAGACTATTTCATTGCATTTTAAACAGTGCCTGGGGGAGATGGGGGGAAGGCTAGAATAAATGCCAAAATGCAAAACACAACTTCTATTAAAAGTAGCAGGGCAGTCCGTGGATGACCACACTCAGAATTTTTGCAAATGTTTCCTTCTCATGCTAAATTTTCATGCCAAGGGCTGATTTTAAAAACACACACACACAAATTGTTCTTTGTTTTGAACATTCTAGTGAAACCATGTGGACTTCCTCCTTGTGCTACTTGACCTCAGACTCCTCCTGGCTCGCTGGTCCAGGGAAGGAATTGTGTTGGCCTGAGTTCCAGTTTCAGCTCAGCTGGGAGATCTTGGGGTCCCCTTCCTGGCCTGGGTCTTTTTACATCTGTCCGAGAAAGTGGTCTGATTGAGGCCTGGAATTCCTTGAATGAGAGTTGATGGCTAAAAATGGCTCTCACGAGGGCGAGCAAGTGCCGGTGGTGACTGTGGCCGTGGCTATCTGTGGCCGAGGGGCTGACTGTTTCATGTACTGCTTTCTCTCCTTTCAGGCCTGGGCGGTTTTTAAAGGGAAATTTAAGGAAGGTGACAAAGCTGAACCAGCCACATGGAAGACAAGGCTACGCTGTGCTTTAAACAAGAGTCCAGATTTTGAGGAAGTGACAGACCGGTCCCAGCTGGACATTTCCGAGCCATACAAAGTTTACCGCATCGTCCCAGAGGAAGAGCAAAAATGTAACTATCCTGGATGGGCACTCGGTCCCACAGAGGCTGCCAGGCCCAGGCCTGGGGTGGAAGCCGCCGCCCACAGGGTCTGGGGCAAGGGGTTTTAGCTAAACAAAATAGTTGTCTCCTTTGTATAAGGAATTCTCTTCCCACTGACCTCACCCACCATCTGCTGACCAAGTGGCAGCTTCCAGTTGAGTGAGAGGTGGCGCCGATGGAAGGAAAGGGCGGGAGATTGGGTGGCAGCCAGCTCTGCTGACCTGGAGTGCTGCAGGGTATCCCTGGGGTCAGGGATGAGATTGGGCAGGAGCAGGGATCCTCTGACAGTGTGGAAGGAATTCCTTTTGTTTTCTGGCAACTCTGAGAGGAGGCTAGGGGACCATCAGGTGGACAAAGACGGGATGGCTGACTAAGGTACAGAGTGAAATTCTTGAATGAATTTTTGGAGGGTGACACTGTTAGTTTCATTGCTATGACTCAACACTGTCAGAGCCTGGTCATTGTTTAGGAATTCAGGATGTGATGATTCCTGAAGTTCTGTAATCCAGCTCTGTAATCCCAGGAAAGCATCTGTGAAGAATTCAAAGCAGGGATAGCAACAACGGGCTGCACATCTCCCAAGGCCCGATACCCATGGTCCGGTCTGACATCACTAATCAACCAGGATGTGTGGAGCTCAGATCTGGCCCCAGAATCCTTTTCAAAGTGGTGTGCTGTGCAGCTGCTATGCATCGGAGCTGGCCTGTGAGATGAAATCTAATCCCCACCTCTGGTTTAAAACATGTGTTAACACATTGACTTTCTTAGCCATTAGATGTAGCAATTAGAATATGGGCATGGCATCCTTTTCTCCTTCAGAGAAGTCCAGTAAGGCCTGAAAGCGATAGAACTCTCTGGTAAGGGCTATGTAGAAATTCCAAGTTTGAGTTCCTCCCACTGTGGGAAGGCTAAAAATGTTGATGGGTAATTTTTAAAAAGTTAAAATTGTGACCCTAACAAATACATGGTGAACCTGGATCAGAGAGTTACTTGACTCATTAGTGAGGGAACCAGCTCGATGACAAAGGTTGTTTGGCAGAATATGCCACACTGACAGACATGGTCAGTGAGGGGAGGAGGCTGAGCCTGGCACTGCACCGCAGTTTGGGAGTTATCTTTTCTGCTGGTCGTTTGTAGCTTAATTGCCTGTACATTAACACCTGGCTTTACTGAGTTTGAAGTCTAATCGATAGTCAGTACGAAGTCAAACAAACTGACCTGGAAAATCAGATGATCCTTAGGGGAGACCTCTTGGAGAATCCTCTGGAATGGTTTCAAAAGGCCAGTCGTCATTTTGCTTTATTTCTCAGTTTTGGAAATATGTATATATTTCCAATATATAATTTTTTTTTGTCACCACAAAGTAAATTGTGATTTGAAGTAGTGGAGAAGTTTCTCTTACTCCTCTACCCCCAGGAGCAGCCAAGCTTGAACTGGCAGGTGACCCCAACTTGTTTATAGTATGGGGCACAGCCAGCATCACCTGCAAGGGTGGATGTTAAAGAAGCAGGTTCTCAGGGGGGCAAAGAGGCATGGCATTTGCATAAAGTCTACATGGACCCATTCTCCTCTGTACTTCAGTAGTTTGTAAGCTACATTGGGGGTGCCCCACCTGCCCCCTACTTCCCCCATCAACCGCTTCTAAGTGAATTCTTGAATCTATCAAAGTGGAATAAAAGTTCAGCAAGGATGAAACAATAGGCCAATTTTGTAGCTCGCTGGGACTAATGTTATAATACATCTCACACTGATAAACTTAAACTCCTGTCTGGGGAAGAGGCATAAGAGTGAGGAGGAGACTAGCCTGATCCAGAGAGCTTGTTGTGGAAATGCTCACGTGCCTTTAGTGATTCCTGACGAAGGCAGGTTTGAACTGGGCCTGGGTGAGTCTTTGCCGTGCCGTGCATGTGCGTGGGGTGTGTGTGTGTGTGTGCAGATGCACACGTGTACTGGTATATTTGGAAAGGCTAAAAGGAGATTTCCTGCCAATTAACTTAAAAAAAAAAAAAGAATCTAACCTGCAAACATATTTTGCCAGGAAACCTTTGAGTGCCTACAAGTGCCCAGCTTGTAAATTTAACCTCTGCAGGGCGGTAGACCTGGTGTCTGGTACGCATTCATTTGAGATCCCCACAAACAGAGGGAAGAGACCCAAGTGCTCTTTGGCCTCTAAGTGTTAGAAACAACAACAACCAACTTCTCTCTTTTGATTCTGCTGATCAGATGACTGAAGAAGCATGGGAAAAAAATGTCTAGGCCTTTCCCAAACCAGGGAAGATACTGACTTATTTCCTTCCACTCAGCATTTAGAAACAAACCACTGATGGCCTCAGTGATGGTAGGGATGCCTCAGTGCTCTGGCCACATTTTGCCATGTTTGTCTGCTTTTCCACAGGCAAATTAGGCGTGTCGACTCCTGGCTGTGTGAATGAAGTCACTGAGATGGAATGTGGTCACTCTGAAATTGATGAGCTGATCAAGGAGGTAAGTGGGGCAGTGTTTCTGGAGGTCTGGCCCGACAGCAGAAGGCATTGTTCTTGCTCTACCAAGACATCCAGAGCCTCAGGCTCTCCCAGCAAACCTTGACTCTGCCCCGGCAGAGAGAGAACGTGAGGACTGGGCCACCGGTGTGAGGCCAGCCTCCGCCAACCGGTCAGCCCGTTCACCCGGTGTCCAGTCCTTAATCCCAAGGGCTGGGGAGAGTGCTTGCTCTGTGTCAGTGATGCTTCCGCAAGCTCTGGGTTTTCATACTTAAACCTTCTGAATGCCAGCCTTTTCTAATGCACCCTATATTTTCTTACTTTCTTAGCATGCTGCAGTGAACAATATGGGAACTTCCCTTCCTGCTTAGGGTTGTTCCTATGGCATGATTATTGTACTAGCTTTCATGGCTGGTGCGCTGCCTGTCTTCCAATATACAGCTTTTCATCCTTGATGGGTCAGAATGCCATATAACCAAGCTTGTTAGAATTGTACGTAAAGTCATAATTAATAGGCTATAAATAAAGGCTTAATGGGGTCCTAGGCAATGGGTATTTGAATACCAATTTTAGTTCTTTGGGTGCCATTTTCTTCTACCTTGAGCCTTTTAACTATGTTTTTATGGCTATTACAGGGTATAAAGGCTTAATGGGGTCCTAGGCAATGGGTATTGAATACCAATTTTAGCTCTTTGGGTGCCATTTTCTTCTACCTTAAGCCTTTTAACTATGTTTTTATAGCTATTACAGGGTGGACATTGCATAGCTAAAATAATCCCACACAGCCCTTATAAAAGGTGGTGGAGGTGCTATATAAATTCTTCTTCATTCACATAGCAATGCTAGAATCCTTGGGAGTGGCTTGGTGGTCAGGAAATGCAGATAACAAAATATAATCTACTCTGAGCTGCCCGACTTCTGCACGTGGCAGCTGTTACGTGTCTGGGTGGTCTTTGGCAGCAGATCAGCGGAATTCCTGGTTTCCTGTCACTCCAACAATGTCCCGTTTTCCACGAGGTTTTTCTGCTGACTCAGCGAAGAGAGTGCAATAGCAGGATTGGTGCACCAGGATCACAGGAAAAGCAGATTTCAGAAACGTTTCCTCACTGGATTTACCCACCTCCTTTAGGAAAGGGGTCCGAGATGGAGAGTTGAGACATGGTGTATTGAGTGAGATTCACGAAAGCTTGGCAGAGTCCATTCAATGTCAGGTGCGCTGCGGTCCCAGAACCAGCAACAGGCAGTTTCAGGAAAAGGTCAATAAACTTCTTATTAAGGGCCCTGAAGAGGCTAGTAATTCAGTTACGTAGTTTGATCACTGAGCATCCTGGATCTTTCGAGATACAAGTAAAACTTCCCTTTTGTCTTATGAGCTATCGGTGACAATATGGTCTTAGTTAAGCATAAGCCTTTCATCTCTACAACTCTGGGGTCCTGCTTTGGAAGCCTAGTGACTGTGCTGCTCTTCTGTCTTGTTCTCGGTCGCACAGCGCCCTGTGGATGAGTACATGGGGATGGTCAAAAGGAGCCCTTCCCCGCCTGAGGCCTGCAGGAATCAGCTCCTCCCAGACTGGTGGATGCAGCAGCCCAGCGCAGGTGAGGATGGGAGCCCAGACCACTCCCAGTGCTTGGGAGCTGGACGTGTTTGAATGCTTTCAGCCTTATAGCAGCCGGGGTGGCGTGGGGACGGGACGGGGGTACTGCTATGATCCCTATTTTATTGACGGTGACTGCCTCCCAGGAAGACACATCTGTCCTTCCCATAGGAGGTGTCTGCTTCCCACGCGGCTCCTGGGGAGGTCAGAGGGGAGGGAGTGCAGTGAATGTCTCCGGACCAGAGGGGATTCACAGCTCTGGGCCACGTTAGGTCTGTTCGGCCCTCCATCCAGTTTCTTCAGACATTAGGGACCTCTCAGAGCCAAGCACGGCCCAGAGCGGCGGCTGGAGAGCAGGAGAGCCCCGGAACGGGCACTTGCTCGCTCAGAGCCCTGGATTTGAGTCCCCTGTCAGAAGTTGCATAGCGTATACAAGGCTCAGTTTCCTCATGACAAATGGGGACACCAGGACTGACCCTACAGGGCCTGGAAGCTAAATGAGGCATTCACCTTCTTATTAGCTCCTGATGACCCGCCCTGCACCACTGCTTGAAATGACCCTCCCTCCGGGAGCATGAGTGCCTTTGCTCCCTTACTTGGCCTCTCCCCCACTGGCCCCTGTGGGAGACCCGGAGGCGGTCGCTAGCCTAATGGGCCTCAACGGTTGTGAGTGTGGGGTGGTGTCAAATCAGGGGCCCTGGAGAGCCCCCCTCCCTGTGCCAGCGGCACCTCGGAGAAAGCTAGCTCCAGCTGGGCTCCCCTTCAAGTCAAGCCCTGGCTGGTGGACACGCAGTCCCCCGGTATTTTGGGAGCAGGGGGAAGGAAGCGTGGCCCCACAATGTCACACTGACACATGGTCAGAAATCCCACAGCACAGAGGAAGTCTCCCCCCTCCATGCTGGTTGGGTTGAGGTCTGGTTTTCTGCGTTTATGAAACATAGGTCGCCGCACTGAGAGGGAAAAACACCGAATTCAGCGGAAGCCTGTGGCAGGGCCTCAGGAGCACGCCATATGCGGCTTTTTAAGAAACTTTTGGAGAGGGGGAGTGTGTGGGTTGCTTCCCCTGCACACAACCGAGTGTGGCTGGATCTGAGTCTGCTTGTCTCTTCCTCCAGCAGGCTTGCCGCTGGTGCCGGGTTACGCCGCCTATGATGCACAGCATTCAGGTACGAAGTGCTCTGGGCCAGGCCGGGTGGGGGGCGCTCTGAAGACAAAACTCGAAGGACCGGTGTGGGTTCTTGAGGGCCCCTGGATAAGCATGATCTGGTGTCAGAAGTCGGGCACCTGATTCCTCCTTTTCACTGTTTGGTTTGGGAGTGAGCAAGTGGCTGGCCTCTTTGAGAGTCTTCTTGGACTGGACCAACAGATAGATCCGAAGAGCTCTTTGCAGGTGTAACTATATGGGAGAAAGAGTGTGGGGACAGATGCACTCAAGGCCCAGCTCTGCCCCTGTCATGTGACCCCAGGCAAAGTAATTGAACCACTTGGGACCTCAGGCTTCTCATCTGTAGAGTAGGGACAACAGTAGCAACTACCTCATGGGAATGTTGTGAGGCTCAAACACAATGTTATTAAAACTTTCTGGTAGGGACATATTGGTCAATGGATGTCTCCAGTGACAGTTTGTTTTACTCTCTCCCACCTAAGTTTATAACAGTAACAATGCTAATAACGATAATGGTGGTGATGATGCTGGTGATGATGGTGGTTATGATGGTGGTTATGATGGTGATGATGGTGATGGTGATGGTAATGATGGTGAGGGTGATGGTAATGATGGTGAGGGTGATGATGGTGATAAAGATGATGGTGGTGATGATGGTGGTGATGGTGGTGATGATGATGGTAATGATGGTGATAAAGATGATGATGGTGGTGATGATGTTGGTGGAGATGGTGATGATGGTGGTGGTGGCTGACATTAGTGAATGCTAACTTGGTCCAGGATCATCAGTGAGACTTTCATGGCCTAATCTCATCATCACTTTCTACCACCCCTAGGTAGGTGCTGTTATTTCCATTTCACCAGCTCAGAAACCCCTGGTCACAACACTTGTGGGCCACAGAGTGGGGTGCGGTCCCAGGCTGTTCCATCCCTGCTCCTGCCCCAGATGACAGAGGTGGTCGCTGTGCCACATTGTTGTCTAATTACATTGGGGACTCGGACCGTGTTCCTGCCAGCGGCTCCTGGAATTTACATTCAGGCTCATTGATGGCGTCTTCAGAGCAAAGGAAGCTGGTGTCTTCCCCCAAAGCGGCAGGTTCTGTGAGAAGGGAGCAGCCTGCCTCATCAAGATGGGCCACATAATGTTGGGGCCGGGGACCCGAGGCCTCCTGGCACAGAAGGGGAAACGGGGTGCAGAGAGAAGGGTCTTGACCACGGCCCTCATGGGATGAGTGTTTTTGGGTGGATAGAGGCAGGGTCTCAGCCAGGCAAGAAAATTTTAAAGCAAATGATGTTCCCATTCATCGAGCCCTTGCCCATTGCACAGCAGGCCTGGGAGCGGGGGACTGTTATAATTCTGGCTTCACAGATGAGGAAACTGAGGCTTAGTGGTTAAATCTCTCACCTCAGATCACAGAGCTGGTAAGCGGGGTTGCCAGGTTCAAACCCAGGCATCTGGCTTCAGGTCTGTTTTTAGATTTATGCTGGGCAGCCACTATGCCCACCAGAGGCTCAGCTCCTAGAGGCCCCAGGTCATGGGACCGGGCCTTTGACCTGGTTAGCTCTGGGCTATGGCCCAGGGAGTCTGCTGACCAGCGCTTCCCGGGGGCAGGAGAGTAGCCTGGCACATGCTACAGTGTCTGGGTGAGCAGACATGGTCTGAGGAGGAAGCTTCCTCAGTTATTCCAGAGCTGTCTCAGCACACAGCAGGTGGAATGACTCGCAAAGAGAATCCTACACCATTCCTCTAGAACAGTGGTTCTCAACTTTCCTAATGCCGCGACCCTTTAATGCAGTTCCTCATCTTGTGGTGACCCCCAATTTCATTGTTACAAATTGAACATAATTAAAGCATAGTGATTAATCACAAAAACAATATGTAATTATCTATGTGTTTTCCGATGGTCTTAGGCCATCGGAATGGGTGAAAGGGTCGTTCAACCCCCAAAGGGGTCGCAACCCACAGGTTGAAAACCTCTGCTCTGTAAGTTGTGGACTTCGGTACCTCTGCTCGGTTCACACAACCCCTCCCCCATGTAAATAAGTTGTCAGGGGCCCCCAGTTCTTACCCCTATAGGGATAGGTAATATCACGGTGAAGTGTCAGGAGAAGGACAACAGGGAGTGGCAGAGACTGTGGCAAAGTGGAGGGGCCGCCCTTCTCTGGGCTGCTTGTGGTTCCTGCCCAGTGGACTTACGGACCCAGCCAGGCTCAATTCTCCCATTTTCCTAGAGGAACCAGAGGTCTGAATTTTTAGGTGAAATTTTCCCATATAAAAGGCTGGCAGCAAATTTGTGCTAGCAGCACCTCAGTGTGCTGGTGGATCCACACATGTCTGTGGCTGCCGTTCGTGCTCTAAACTGTATGTATTTGAAATAATCGGGGTGAAGTACAGTGTTTGAAACTGACAGTGTGACTTGGAGCTAAGAATACAGATGTTGTGCCCTGGCTGGGATGGGTCAGTTGGTTGAGCATTGTTCCATGCACCGAAAGATCACTGGTTCAATTCCCAGGACACATACCCAGGTTGCAGGTTCGATCCTCACTCAGGGTGGATATGGGAAGCAACTGATGAGTGTTTCTCTCTCTCCCTCTCCCTATCTCTCTCTCTCTCTCAAATCAATTAAAAAAAAGAACTGAGATGTGGAGCCAGCCTGCTAGAGAGGGAGTGCATCCAGGCTCCCCAATTAGCAATCGTGCCATTGACAACAATCACCTTAACCTGTCTATGACTCAGTTTTTTCACCTGGAAAATGGATATAATTTTAATAGTCTCTACCTCATGGGATTGTTGTGAGGATTAAATGTGCTAATAGGTCTAAAGCACTGGGAACAGCACTTGGGATGTGCTGTGTAGACCAGGGACTGTGGCTTATAACTTCAGGGGTCTCATCTATATAGCTAATCTTTTGTCCTGTTACCCCAATTTATTTAATAACCACTTATACAGTGCTGACATATGCTAAGTACAAATGCAAGCTCATTTAATCCTCACAGCAACCCAGTGAAGTGGGAGTATTATTATCTCCACTTTGCGGATGGAGAAACTGTGGCACAGAGTAGGGAAGCCGCTGCCCAAGGTCACACAGCTGGGATAATGCATCAGGCAGTGGGTTCCAGAGCGTGAGCTCTGCTGCCACTATGGTCAGACTATCCCCTGGCAGGGCCGTCCTTGGTGAGTGGGTGGATGTAACGGGAGCAGGACAGGATTGCGAAGGGCTGGACTGAGTAATTGGAGGCCTTTGATGAGTGGCTTCTGCTCTGTGGGTCTCCACTGCTCGCCTGTAGGGCACGGTGAGCCATGGCTCAGGCCCTTCTGGCTTGAATCTCCTCTGAGCCTAAGCTGTCCCCTGGCGTTGGGGTCACTAGGACAGCCCTGCCTGGACATCTGGCACACCTTGTCCGTTGCTCCGGAAGTTCATACAGCAAGAGACACTAATGTGAAATAAGGCCACAGCCATGATAGGGCAAAGGGGCAGAGTGGCGGCAGAGTCATCTGGTGTGTTTCATCCATTGGGACAAAGTTCAGAATTGTTTCAGAGTGAAGGAAGTGGAATGTGTCAAGTCATCAGGCGATGCGGACATGGCAGACTTGGAGGTGGGAGGATGGTGAGTGGGGGTAATGAGACAGGGAGTCGGATGCCAGTGCTGCTTCTTACCTGCTGGGTGACTCCACCTGGGCCTTAGTTTCCCCAAATATCAAATAAATGAGTTGGACTGGAGCCCCTGCGTGAGTCTAGACTGCCGTTAACGCCAGCGTGGGAGGAAATGGAGCCTGTGAACTACAGTGGGGAGTCTTAGTATTTGACTGAGCAAATGATTCTTGAGCAAAGCCCTAGGAGTGTCCAGGGAATGTAAGTGCACGGCAGCATGAGCCCAGCTGAGGTAGGTGGCCCCCACAAGACTCCCCCTGGCCGTTGTGCAGGTGTGCGCTGCACAAGTGTAGGGGGCACCATGGATTTGGGCAGCTCACAGCTCATGTGGCTCAAGGGATCAGCCCCAGATTGGTCTTAAAGGGTTCCCCAAACTCACCAAGCTCATTGATAGTGCCTGTAATTCTCATAGTTTAAGGCTATTAAAATGCATATTTCTCTAGGAGTATCCCTGAATTGAGCTGTTGTCTTTATTCCTACCTTAATTTAGAAGTTCCCAAACTTTAGACACTTGAGCCCCATTTTCACACTTTGGTTTTCATATCTGGGTATCCCCTGGACTATCATGAATATCCTGTTTTTCTCTAAATCTTACTTTTTAAAACTTAAATTTACTGTAAAATGGGGGCCATCTGTCATTGCCTGGGAAAGGGGAACCAGTGTCACTGCTATAAGTAGGAAGCCAAGAGGTCAAAGCACATTCATTGAAGACCAGATATTCTGTTTAGAGATTCTGGCCAAAGCCTGCCCCTTGGTTAGAGGGAGGTTGTCAGCAGGAGTGTTGTTGTCTGCCGGCACCAAAGCGGGGCTTTGTTTCTCGGTGATCAGAGATTGAGAGCATAGACATACATGTACTGTACACGGTTGCCTAGTTATATAGCTGTATATACTCTAGAACAATGTAGCCTGTTGTCTACGTTCATAATGGAAGGATATGCTAGGTCTGAATTCGAGGTTAGTGAAAATAAAGAGAGATCTTTTTTCTTGACAAATTCAAGTCCCCTGGATTTCAAATTAAGAATCGATGTTACATATTATAACATAGCAGTGGTATAGCAGTGCCTGTGAGGGAGAGCCAGTTTCCTAGGAAAGTAAGTTGTCAAAACCTCGTCACTCTCAGGGTGACTGATAAATTATGGCAGCTGTCAGCCCTTCCCAGCGGTAGGGAGCGCACTGTAATGGCTTTCTATATTTGGAATCATTGGTTTCCTTAGCAATTCTGTGTACTTATTCAGGCTTATAAAGTTATTATTTCTAGAAAGAGTGCATGAACTTCCCAGAATGCCAGAAAGGTCCCGGACACACCGACAGTTAGGCTCGCCCAGTTCGGGAGGAAGAAAGGCTCTGGGCATTTCCCCAGGAAGGACCAGGGAACCCCCTTCCCCTCAGCCCCTGACCTGTCCCCCCCTTTCCCCACAGTCTTCTCCCAGATGGTCATCAGCTTCTACTACGGGGGCAAGCTGGTGGGCCAGACCACCACCACCTGCCCCGAGGGCTGCTGCCTGTCCCTGAGCCAGCCGGGCCTGCCCAACACCAAGCTGTATGGGCCGGAGGGCCTGGAGCTGGTGCGCTTCCCGCCTGCGGACACCATCCCCAGCGAGCGGCAGAGGCAGGTGACGCGGAAGCTGTTCGGGCACCTGGAGCGAGGCGTGGTGCTGCACAGTAACCGGCAGGGCGTGCTGGTCAAGCGGCTGTGCCAGGGCCGCGTGTTCTACAGCGGCAACGCCGTGCTGTGCAAGGACAGGCCCAACAAGCTGGAGCGCGACGAGGTGGTCAAGGTCTTCGACACCAGTCAGTTCTTCCGAGGTCTGTACACTGCCACCTGCTGCCTGTGTCTTTTTTCCCCCCAGAAAGAAAGGGAGAGGGACTGAGAGATAGAAGCATCAATGATGAGAGAGAATCATTGATCAGCTGCCTCCTGCACGCCCCACACTGGGGATCGAGCCTGCAACCCAGGCACGTGCCCTGACTGGAAATCGAACTGTGACCTCCTGGTTCACAAGTCGATGCTCAACCACTGAGCCACGCCGGCTGGGCTGCTGCCTGTATCTTAAAGATCACGCCTTCTTCCCAGGGCCATTTGTCGCCCAGTCCCCATGGGGATATGTAGGGGTGGCACAGCTGCAGCAGGGGCGCCCCCTGTACTTGAATTCTGCTCTGCACTTCTTTTGCTGAGCGACCCTGGGGAAACCTCTCCATGCCTGGACTTCCAGCGTGTAGAATGGGAGGAGCAGTACAGCAGCTTTCTCGAACAGCTGTTGGGAGCATTAAGATCTTAGCACCTTGCAGCTCTGTATGGACCGTCCCTACACCCTGGGAGCTGGTTAGAAAGCATTTCCGTCCATGTGCCTTTGGGGCAGAATCTGCATCATGGCCAGGCCCCAGGGGTTAGGTGTGTGTGGACCTTGTAAACACTGAGTCCTTGGGACCACACCCCCACACGGAAGTGCTGCACATCAGCCATGGTTATCCTGTGAGGCATATAATTAGCTTCCCGCTGTGTGTGTGCCTCCTGGAGGTCAGGGTGTCCGAAATCAATCAGTCAGGCTGCCCGCAGCACTGCCTGGGAACCCTTCTCTGTGCTCCACAGCTCTCTGCTTCTCTCCCTCTTCCAGCCAGGAGGTAGTGGCACAGCCCTCCTGCCTCCTGGCCTGAGGACTCCTGGAGGCCTCCTGGAGGAGGGGCCCTGGCAAGGTGGGCGAGGCAGCATGTGTGAGCTCAGGTGTGAAAGCACCGACCGACCGAGGAGTTGCAAACACCCGCCCTTCCTCCTTGTGCCTTTCCAGAGCTGCAGCACTTCTACAACAACCAGAGCCGGCTTCCCGACAGCAGGGTGGTGCTGTGCTTCGGAGAGGAGTTTCCAGACATGACCCCCTTGCGCTCCAAACTCATCCTCGTGCAGGTAAGAACGGGCAGCTTCAGGGCTTGTGGCCAGATCTCCCAGCCCACACATCAGGACCCAGCTTATTCTTGGGCGGAAGGGACTGGGGTGCTCCACTTGTGTGCAGGGGCAGACCTGGCGAGACCGTCCGTGGCAGCAATGGATTCTTGTCAGTGCTGAGCCACCTCCTGCTCCAGGACTCTCACCATCTGTGTGTCTCCCCTGCTCTTTCTTTGTATGGTTTGTTTTTCAAAATCAAAACCTTTCCAGAAGGATTCCACCCTGCCTTAAGGCCTAAGTGACCTTAATAAGGGTTTGACAAGCCCTTATTTCACCGCCCTCAAAGGAATGCAGCTCTAATAGTGGAGTTCTGGACACTGGCTAGACAAGTGGGGGACAATATTGAAAAAGCATACATAGGAGTCTTTGCAGGGATACTGCTTTCCCTTTCTTTGCGTCTCCTTATTCGGAGTTCATTCATTTGGGACTCAAATGCTAGCGTTAGACGGGAGTAATCAAAGAATCTGGCTACGGTCAAAGGAAGTCCCACCTCACTTCCCATCTCCAACTCTGACCTTGTGCACCATCCCTCTAGATTGAGCAACTCTATGTCCGGCAGCTGGTGGAAGAAGCGATGAAGAGCTGTGGTGCTGGGTCCATGATGCAGGCTCCTGAGGAGCCCCAGCCAGACCAGGTCTTCCGGATGTTTCCAGATATTTGTGCCTCCCACCAGAGACCCTTTTTTAGAGAAAACCAACAGATCACAGTTTAAGTCTCTCTCTTGGGCACCCCACCCCGCCCACATCTCATCGTTCATTATTACAATTACTGTTGTAATTATTTAAGGATATAGATCCCTCTGACCTGGGGTGGGATGCCTCACGCTGCTCTTAATTTAGTAAGGGCGTTCTCTGAGGGCTCCACGTTCAAAGCGAAGTTGTGTCCAAATTCTATCGTTCAGGTGTAAACATTGAAGCCCACACCAAGTGGTCTGCATGGTGTAACTAGAACCTCTGATTAAAACGTTTGTTTCCTGTATTGTCCCCCAATTATCATTACTTGCTGTGATCCTTCAGCATTTTGGGATAATTGATATTTCCCAAGGCTTTCGTTCACTCTGACTAGCACATAGTTGCTCGCAGTAAAGAAATCTGGGGATCACCTTGTGAAGACAAGTCTGCTTTCCGTCTTTATCTTTTGTTAGAGCTATAGATTTATGATTTCATGTGCTTGATTCGATGTGAGGTGCTTTTTTACTTTTAAGCATGTTGATAAGATTTAAAAATACATTAACAAGTACTTTAATAAGTATCATTAAGCTTCCCTTTAATAAGTGAAAGCAAGAGCTCTTGCGAGTTTGGAGAATGTACTTTCTTCCCAGAATCCGGTGCTAGGAAAGCGTTTCCGTCACCGTGTGGCCTGGTGTGTCCTGATTTTCAGGCAGTGGAAGGTTTCCCTTCGGCACATTGTTGCAGGAAGCTTAGAGCTAAATGTATTTTTTCATTTCTGTAATGAAGTCATCCCAGATAACCTCTCCGGCTGCTTCTTTCTAAATGGTTTTGACCTGTTCTTAAAATATTTGTAATTTTAATTGTCCAATTATAAACTGCTTTGCAGCTTTTCGTTTTCCCCTCTTCTTTCCATAAAGTGGGCAGGATAGAAAGCACGCCTTCAAAATAAAGGGTGTCCCCCCGCCAAATGTCTGCACACCTTAACAGCAGACAGCTCAATTGCTGTTTCTTTCTTTTCATTTTTGGGGGACACCCTGTATAATTGTGGATTTTATGAGCCTTTTGCTTGTACCTCGATTCAGCCACTCCATTCACCAGCCAGTGGTGTTGAGCGTGAAGCCATGGCTAGAGTGGATTGGGGATGTGGACGACACGTGTTACCTGTCACCGCTACACTGGTCTTGGGGTGAGGTGTGGTCGGGGGAATGCCTTCTCCCATCCGCTACCACTCCTCCATGCCCCCACTGCACACCAAATTCTTCAGTAGAGCCATCTAGTGGGATTTTCATGGAGAAGTCCCAGTTTCATGCTGATGCTAATCAAAAGCCAGGGACAGAAGACTGAAACCAATGGCCTGGCTTAACAGAGAGGGCAGTTCAGGCTACCTCAGACCCTCCAGTGAGCAGGAAACCACATCGCCACAGCCCCTCTAAACCGCTTTCAGGATCAAAGAGCACTTGAACATTTTTTTTTCTTTTCTAAATAAGTGTTGTATTTTGCCAGGTTGGGGTACCTCTTGTCTGTGTGGCCCCTGTGTGGTGCACCGGGCCTGGCAGAGATTGGCACCCATGCGTGTGGGGAGTGCCTGCCCCACTTCTTGGTGGTGCAATTTGCTGGTCTGGCCCAGTCAGTCCCACCGTGGGTGCACCAGGCGGGTTTGGGGGTTGGGAGGGCGCGGTTGCTTTGCTTCCACTCTCTTGGGGGTGGGGAGAAGCATCTTCTCTGTATTCTTTTCCCTTTGTCACACTGCCTGGGTCGTCACCACCCCTGACTCAGAATCTTACCATGAAAGGACATGTCACCCCATCGATGTGAAACACATCGAATGTGCAGAAATGGGAAGAGTTGGAATTTGAGGGACAAATTGCCCCCGCTCAGCCAATCTGGTGGCCTTGAATAACAAAAGTCCCCGATTTAAAATCTGAAAGGCCAAAGAATGCCTGTTTATTTCCCCCCATTATTGCTTCGAGGGTGATGCAGGTATAGCACTAGCCAGCCTAACAATGACAGGGCCTTCAGATGTGCCGGAATTCACGCGGGCACATAGGAAAACTTCAATAAAAGTGGCTCTTCGCCTTTGGCCCACCAAGTGAGCATTACAGTTTTAAGGATAACAGCTCTTTTCTGAAACTTTGTGAGATACTGGTGGATAGGCTTTAGTTTATAGCTCAAATGAATGTCAAAATATACATCTTTAATATGCTGGATGAATATTTATTTTTGTATGCATTTAAAAATATGTTGATCTCCTTTATTCTTTATTAAAATAAAGTGCTCTTTTTTAAAGCTGATGTGTGCTCTGTTTTTTTTTTTAAGTTACTGTTCAATATGTTATCATTTTCACTAGATTCTAGGTACTGTAAAGGGGGAATTAAAAAATACTACCACACTGTGATTTTAAGAATGTTTTGCTTGTTTGTTTTTCACTCATCCCCAGGAAAATAGAAAAACTATACGGAGACTTGCAGATCATGCAGAATTTCCTGGAGAAATGTGGGGCACACCCTGTTTCTACTAAAACTGAGGGTCTGTTTGGGGCTCTGTGAACTGACTGATGACTGCAGAGGGTGTGGAGGAAGTAGGAGGCTGGCATTGGTAGCAGCACTTCCTGGAAGCTGCTGGAAATGAGTTGTAGGAGGACCTCCTGGGTTGGGTCAACTGCATGTGATGGGACAGTGAATCCTTTCATTCATACACATGCTCATTGCGCTATGTCCTGGGACCAGAGCGGGGACACAAGGGACCCAGTTTGCTTCTAGTTTAATGGGACATGCCTGTTGAACAACCCAGCAAAAATTGTCAATTGCGGGGAGGCACAGGCTCCGGCCAACCCAGGTAGAGAGATGGTACCCAACACACTCATCTCCATGGCAATGGGTATGACCTCCCCAGCCTCAGATGAGCCCAGGGCGACTGGGGCTGTTCCTATTCTCAGGTTATAGATGAGGAAACTGAGGCACGGCCCATGTTTGACTGACTGCGGGCGAGGTCTGAGAGGCTTTCTGACAACTTTGCTGCCATGCTGACGCCTCCTAGCTGATAACACCACATGGGAAAGGCAGCAGTTGGGCAAATTGCTGACTTTCCCAGAAATCTTTGCAGTGAGTCATGTTCATTCCCGAATGCTGCAAGTAGGAATTTTGTTTATAAGCAAGCCTGTGGGTCCATCTGTCCTGTGAATTCAGGGCCAACTTGAGGAAGTCTGCCTCTCCCCAGAGTTCAACACCCTTGTGCCGATAGTTGGCAAATTCTTCCCACTTAGCTTCTTACAGCATCCTGGGAGGGCGAGGAGGGAATGCAGGGACAAGATGCATCAGGAGTAACCAGAAGTTCTAGAAAATGCTGTTAGGACCATAAATGTGAATTAGCTTCTGAGAGGTTGTCTTCTCCAGGACCTGAGGGGCAGCTGGTGGGAACGGGCTGGTGAGACATGCTGGGAAATAAACGGCCCCCACTCTTTGTATTTGAAAACATTCAAAGAAATGAAGGTATTTCAACAGTTACTTTCTGAGTGCCATTTAGCGCATTAACTCTGGCAAAATACATCTAAAATGGGAAATTTTTTGTTTTCTTTGCAATGTCCAGATGGATTGAGATGATGACCCCAGGGGTTAGCATCCAGGGGCTCTGCTGGGCCCTCAGAATCCTGGGAGAATTTTGCCGAAGGGCAGGCATTCCAGTGAACTACAGGGATAATTCTCTTCACAAAGAAGCAATTGTGGGAACTTACTTGTGTGAATGATTCAGGATCTCCACAATAGAAAGTTTCATAACTCAATTACCCAGAAATATTCAGAAAGTCTTTCTAAAGAATTATCTATAATTAATGACTGTAATTGTGACAGCTCAGTAGTCTGGGAGTGAGGGAGGGGGTGCTTTCTCAGTGGAAAGACTGGCTGCTTTTACTAGAAGTAGGAGGGAAGCAGCAAACACCGTGATCCCCTCATAATCTATACCTCCTTCTTGAACAGGTGCACGGTACAGCAGCATGTTAAAAGGTCTCACTCATGGTCAGAATCTTATTTAATTCAATGTTTCCCAAAGTCATTTGCTCTAATGTTATGCCTTGCAATGTGTTTATAGATGAGTGGTGCCTAAGTGTGCATATTTCTATCCTGCTCTTATTGGCCTGTCTTTCAGTCTAAATGGAGTCTGCCAGGGTGGGGATGGCTTCACTCATCTCTTTCTGTGTAATAAAATACCCCCAAACTTAGGGGCATAGAAACATTGTATTTTGCTCATGGATTCTGTGGGCCAGAATTTCGACAGAGTATGATGGTGTTGGCTTTTCTCTATTCCATAATGTCTGCAGCCTTCTCTGGGAAAACTTGAACGGTTGAGGATGACTGGAGTGCCTGGGGGTGGAATCATTTGAAGCCCTTTTCATCCATATGTCTGGTGCTTGGGCCAGGAGGACTGGAAGGCTGGGCACAGCTAGAATGTTGACACGTGGTCTCTTCATGTATTTTGGGCTTCCTCACAATATGGCAGCCTTGGGGGTGGGGGAGACCAATGGAGAAAGAAGAAGCTGAAAGTCTGTCTATAGCCTGGCCTCAAACTCCACTTAGCCTCACTTCTGCCACAGATTGCCCAGATTCAGAACAGGCTGAGCCCCCACCCTCTGATGATGGGAGTGTCAAGGAATTTGCAGTCATATTTTAAAACTGCCACAGGGACCCGGAAGCATCTTCTCCTTTGCTACTCATCCCGTATGCCTTTTAAAGTCTTCTGCCCTCTCCCCGGAAGTCCTGGCTCCTTTCTGCCCCAAATCTTGAGTCCCAGACAGGTAGATCTTTTCCTCATTCCAACTTGGCACTTGTCTTCTTCAGAACATAGTCCTTTTCTGGCGAGTACTGCTCATCTCCTAGGGCAGTGATGGCGAACCTATGACACGCGTGTCAGAGGTGACACGCAAACTCATTTTTTTGGTTGATTTTTCTTTGTTAAATGGCATTTAAATATATAAAATAAATATCAAAAATGCAAGTCTTTGTTTTACTATGGTTGAAAATATAAAAAAATTTCTATATGTGACACGGCACCAGAGTTAAGTTAGGGTTTTTCAAAATGCTGACACGCCAAGCTCAAAAGTTTTGCCATCACTGTCCTAGGGCATGACTCTGATCTGTTACTGTGTGAACAAGATCCCTTCCCACCAGGAGTGAAGATGGGGCATATAGGGAACTTTCCAGTTAGGGTTAACTTTGGCTCCTATGGTGAGAGCCCCTTATGGAGTTTTCCTGTTCCCTTCTATCCTTATGTTCATTATCCTGAGGGTGAGGCAGGGCCACCTTTCCCTCCTCTCAT